GGTCGTTTCGTCCTATTGTGGGACTTCCTCAGAAGTGCGCATCCACGATCCCACATCGGGAGATTCGAATTCAGAACTTCAATTGTCTCATGATCTCAACTATTAAAATCACTATAATATCCACAAAAAACTCCTGAGATTATTATGTTTAAAATGCTTATATATTTGATGCAGATAAATATGTACACTTTAATGGGAAAGGATTTTGTAGTGTATGCTAATGATGTCGACAGATAAAAGTAGAAAGTAACAACGATTGAAAGTGAAATGTCTGGAGATCAAAGAAAAGAGAATGAAAACAAAGAATGAATGGTGTGGAATGGAAAGAACAATAAAGTCTGAAACGATTGATCAATATTTTGCAAATGAAGTATTGATTATATGGTTCTCAGATTTTACTGAAATATTCTGTAATTTCGTATTCACATACATTCAATCGTCCCCACTTGTGTTCTCGTTCACTACAATTTTATCACTAAATATTTTAGCAAGATACTTTTCGTGAACTAATATCAAGTAAATATTTATCTGATTCTGTGTTGAGACGTTAGGTGGTGATTGAATTTGGTTGCCAGGAAATCCTCATCGAACAAGGTTTCCTATTATTTAGCAGTTGTCAGCATGACGTCTCCGTCATCTCAGCGTCTCAGACTATGAAGCTAGTTGACGTGGGTTTGAATTTCACTAGTAGCAAACGATTTCCTCAAGATCCCAGTAACGTCTTTTTACAATAAGTACCAACGAGCATAAAACTTAGCTTCAGGCATTTTTACTGACTATATCTAACCAACCAAAATGTAACCATATCTCTTTGACTTGTAGTAGCATTACCTAGAAGTTTACAAGAATTCACCTTAACATTGAGGAATTTCTTAAAAGATTAATAACTGACAAAGTGAAGTGAATAACAATTACACAGAAAGTTCGTTTGATAGCAAGGCACAAAAAAAGGAAAACTACTGAAGTGAGTTCAATAAAAATACATTTCTTTTTAACACACCTTAAAATCCACAAGCATTCAAGTTGAAATTGCCTACATTTAAAGAATTTAGTATTCAAAACCTTAATAAACAATAATTATTTGCCCAGAAAGATTATCTTTGAATAGTTGCAACTAACTTATCACAATAGATCTTACTCATCAAAAAAAGTTTGTAACTGAACAGAAAAATTGACACATCACGACTGAAATAATCGAATCATGCGTTGATGAACACATTTCAAATATTTACAGCAATTTATATCAAGCTACAAAACTACATTGTCCCGTAATAGTTACAAAATGTTAGTGGACACAATTATCAATACGTAGTTATCAATGATGTTGTAAATTATAAAATGCCCTGGTACGGTGGAGAGTGGGGAGAGTCCGCTCTCCCTCTCCAAATGCTCTTACTGCCACCTTGTGGCGGGGGTGTTGTATATGAAATTGGGAGCACGAAAAGCGAATGTCTGGCGCTTTAACCGGGTTCGTGGACACGGAGGGTTCACCCAGGGAAGTAGGAAAACCCTGATTCTAAACCAATGGTGCACATGGGCTGGCTCCAGTATCCTGAGGGAACAAATGGTGTACGAATCAATGGTTGATCACCGGCTACCATGGGACTGCATCTCCTCACGATGTTCCACTGCCTTATGGATCAGATCTTTCGGTCAAAGGCTCCGGGTGTGGGCCCCTAAGAAAACCACCTGGTTCGGTTTGGGCACCTGGGCAGTATCACAGCCCTCACACAAATCAAATAAAATTTCGTTTGTGGCAAGAGAATACTGATGGTGTTGTGAACGGAAACATCAACGAGGACAATCAAATGTATTTTAATACATTACAGAATATTTTGGTAAAATCTGAGAATCATACAGTCAATACTTCATTTGAAAAATATCCATCAATTGTGTCAGACTTTGTTGTTCCTTCGTTTACATACCAATCACTCTCTGTTCTTATCTTAACCATCTGCCGCCTGACATTCCATTTTCGACTAGCGATACATACTACTTATATCGCCCGACATCAGTAGTACACGCTACAATGGAACTAAATCCCAATTTGTTCATTGAATGAACGAACTGAAAACTATTTTCTAAATAATAAATTTTATATACTTATGTATAAGTGTGAAAAAAATTTTGTATACAAAATAAATTAGAATCACATGGGCATGTCGAACTCTATCATAATATGAACGTCATCAAAACAATTTAATGTTCCAATTGTTTTGAAGACAGAATAATATAAAAAATTAAAATTGACTGATAAGCTGAGTTTACAATGTACCCTTTCAAAATGCGCTATATTGTATGAATCAGCTAATCTAATTATTATTTCATCTATCAGTGATTTTGGTAACCTAATGTTTATGGGTATTGAAAAGTTATGATAAGTTGTATAATAGTAATGTAGAAAATAGAATACACAGTCAAATTTGTCTAGTTTCGAAACGCTATTTTCAATGGTCAATAATAATATAGCTGTGTTGGATGGTCATACGATTCTGTTACTGATTTACACGTATCTCAATCCCAAGTTTAACCAGCTACTTGAATGAGAAAATTAGTGAGTAGGAAGTTTTATAAGTTCACCGAACCCAATCAACTTATAAACACAGTTATGTCTCCTTCATGTAATTTAGCCTGTTTATTATCTATCACTTTACCTTCAGCTTTGAGATAATAATAATATATCTAATTGGTTCAACCTAGCAAATACCAATTTCTAATTTTAATTAAGGAAAGATTATTAGCATTTTACGCCACGAACCGGTTTCAACTGTATAAATACTGAAGGGTTGATCAGTTTTTTTTCATCATAGAATAAGTTGTCAGCAGTAAACACCGGTGAATGTATCAGGGGTTGAAAGCAGGATACATGGGTTTTATGTTAAGCATACCCTTGAATCATCGTTCTTATTAGTAACCATAAGTACCGGGTTTAACTTGGCTGACCGAGTCTCACTTTTAAACTTATCTTGCAGTGACTAGTCGAGCACACATAGCATATCCTAGCTTCTCGAAAAACCAACTTATCCATTCTACTGAAGCTACATTTCGACCTTGCTAATTATTCGCTTGTCAACCTTGACTGTTTTTTATGTACGCGTTTGTGTGTACATTTCTTATCTTACCCAACAGATGTTTGTAACTTATTTTTGATTTGAATATAAATATCGATTCACGCTTGATTATATTGAGTTGGTTCACAAGCCTTATCTTCACTGAGCGTCATTTCGCTTCGTCCCTCTGACTGTCTGTCAAGGTCAACGAGTGTACAAAATATAGGTATTCAAATATCCATTCTCGTATTTGACTTATTTAGTTTCATTATTCACTAACGTGATTTAAGTCGATAATTTTGTACGAGGATCGATGATATGTATATTTCAATAACATAGATAAAGGGCCACAAAAATCCATGAACTTTATGTTGCTTCATGAGTGATCTGAGTCAACTCATCACCTAACGATAGGTGATGAATTAGTTTGGATGATTCGATCACTTTACTTCTCTCCGAAGTCTGATCAGTGGTACCGACTCGTACTTTACGAAATATAGACAGACATCGATCCAAACAGATCTCTTGTATTTTTGAGATTTGCTTCATATATGGTGTGTGTGAGATAGATGTCCATCTACCAACCAAAGAACGGTGTACAACACGGTATTTCGTACTGCTCTACTTTTATGACTGTGAAATGTTCCCCGTGAGCTTATAGGATTTTAACGGGTTATCAGTTTTTGATTGAAGTTGCCTTCATAGCACTGCTCTTGTATGTAAGACCATCGAGTGAGCAATGTTGAACTCAGATGTAGGGTATTAGGTGAAGATGATAAATCGATTGATTAGGTGTTTAGGATATATGTTACGTATCCCAGACCATTGCTTACCTCAACAACTTATGTTTTCTGTTGTGGGAAGAGGTTAGACAGAAGCTAGGAGCAGCTAAACGAAAACATGGAATTAATTTATGAAATTATTCATTGCCGGACTAGGCAGACTATCCGATTGTTCTAATCGATTTTCAAAGAGACTGAGTGATTTGGCTTAGAATTGTCCGTGACGATGTTAATTTACGTGCATGTTGTTTACGCTTCGATTACAAATTTGAAAATTACTTTATACCTAGCAATCCACAAACTTACTCTTCCGTTTGTAGTTCTATTATTTATTTCTTTTCTTAATTATGATGGATACTGTTACTGTTGTGAACGAGAACTCAGGTGGGGGCAACCAATTCATTGTCCTATACAAAATTATCGAATGTCTTGGCAAAATATAAGAACCATACACTGAAAATTTCATTTGCAAATTTTCACTATTTATTCTTCAAGTTAACAGTTACTTTTTATTTTCCCATCAATTGTCTTTATTTCGATCATCTTAGCCTTCTGATGACAGGCTTTCTACTTCCGACTGGTGTTACATACTACTTAAGTCTGTCGACATATGAAACATACACACCATTACTACTTCGACTACAGTAAAATTGGTTCTACTAGGTTTACCTCGCTACATCGATACGGTACGGCCAAGAGTGGGGAGAGTACGCTCTCTCTCTTTCGAATTGCTCTCACATCGACACGCGTATATAACCTCTTCCAGGGAAGTCCTACTTACTGCGTTCTTGTGGCGGGGGTGTTGTTTACGAAATTGAGAGGACGAAAAGCGAATGTCCGGCACTTTAACCGGGTTGGTAGATACGGAAAGTTCACCTAGGTGAGTTGGAAAACCCTGATTCCAAACCAATGGTGAACATGGGCTGGCTCCAGTATCCTGAGGGAACAAATGGCGTATGAACCAATTGTTGATCGCCGGCTACCATGGGACTGCATCTCCTCACGATGCTCCACTGCTTTGTAGATTCAGCCTTTATGTCAAAGGCTCCGGGTGTGGTCCCCTAAGAAAACCACTTGGTTCGGTTCGGGCACCTGGGCAGTATCACAGCCCTCAAACAAATCGAATATGATTTGTATGGCGCATATGTATCTGGTGCTTCCTTGTACCAATATTTATGTGTTTAAATAATAAAAATAATGGTAGGTTGAAATATATATTAGTTTCTACGATACTACTTATGAACGACTGACAAATCAAATTACAGTCTACAATATTTAATCTAATGTTGTTGATGATCATACATGCAGATGAATGATGAAATAGGCTACTACAGGCAAATTTGAAGAAAAGATAGAAAAAAAAACTCAATTCCACAAAAGTGAGTCTAACATAAGAAAGTGTACACACACAAATATGCTACCATACATACACAAACAGTGTGTATATGTGTAACTCATGTGAAATTACTTTCAAAACATAAAAAAAAAGAGTGACATACCATGTGAACATAGGTGACACAAACATTTAGATAGACAAACATACACAAATGAGAGGTATAAACAATATAAATGAGACCAAACAGAACCGGTATCGCCATTCAATGAGATTAAGAGGGTAAGGAAAACAACAACAAAAATGAATGAATAACATAAAAAAAGACTTACAGAATAATAAAATGTAAGAAAAATAATTATCTTTTATGTTTTGTTTAGAAAATCATTTCAATTGTATCCGAAAATCCAGTATTAAATTTCAATGGATTATAACCACCAAATACTAAATTATAACGTTGATCTGATGTTAATGTTGTACAACAACTGGAACGAGCAAATATTAAATTTGGCCCTGAACGCCATTTCCAAGCGACAGGATCAAATATCCATGTAGTATCTAAGGTATTTTGACCATTATATCCACCAACTAATAGTAAATTATCTATAGATTATAAAACAAAAACACAGAAAGAGAAAGAATAATGGTATGATCGTTTTTTTTATTCAATAAGAAACGGACATAAAAATGTTCCTTATAGAGAGAAGATATAAATTTTAGAAGTTATTCTGCTTAACCTAGGTTTAGAGCTAGTTGACATGTATTAGCAAAACGTACATTAGCAATTTTGAAGGGAATGATAATCCCCTGAGGAACCCATGCTAACCGGCTAAAGAGAACTGGAAAAAAATTTATTATTATTTAAACACATAAATATTGGTACAAGGAAGCACCAGATACATATGCGCCTCACAAATCTCATTCGATTTGCTTGAGGGCTGTGATACTGCCCAGGTGCCCAAACCGAAGCAGATGGTTTTCTTAGGGGGCCGCACCCGGAACTTTTGACCTAAAGGTCTGATCCATAAGGCAGTGGAGCATCGTGAGGAGATGCAGTTCCATGGTAGCCGGTGACCAACAATTGGTTCATACGCCCATGTGCACCATTAGTTTGGAATCAGGGTTTTCCAACTCACCTAGGTGGACTCGCCTTGTCCACCAACCTGGTTAAAGCGCTGGACATTCGCTTTTCGTCCTCTCAACTTCGTAAACAACACCCCCGCCACAAGAAGGCAGTGAGTAGGACTTCCCTGTCACAGGCTATATATTCGCGTGGCCATGTGAGAGCATTTGGAGAGGGAGAGCGGACTCTCCCCACTCTCGGCCGTACCAGGGCATTTGGGGGCACTGGAAAAAAATGGATATATGTAACATTGCCCATTGCTTCATAACAAAGTAATTCTAATTCTTAAGAAAAAATAACTTTGCCAATATGGAAAAAAAGTTAACAAAATGGCAGAATTCTAATACCAAAGCCTCATTCTACAAAAAGAATCCGGCTACTTAAAGCAAGTTGAAATAAACATTGATTGCAAACCATGTTAGCTGATATGATCTTGAGTGGAAGTAAATATAATTTGAGATTCTAAGTGTAATTGTATCATGTCTTCAATTAACATTGTATAATTAAGACTGGTTTCAAACAAATTCACATCGTTTATCGAGGATTTTGTCTACTTCTAGTTATCCTTAAAACTACTGAATTGCTTTCCCATAAAAATCATAAATGATAAGTAAAACGGTGAAGGTCAAAGGGTATTTGATTTGGCAACTGAGTGTTAATATCACCACACTCCGAACCCCCTACAGTGCAAATAACGAAAAGTGTAGCTGAAAGACTTGTTTAGATTTAATTTAATGACATTAATATCTTGAAATAATCTAGGTTAAACTCCCAATGAAAACTCAGAAGCACTAAATAGACGTTCAGTCCTAGTATGGAACTTTACAGCAGTGCGCGCCCGCGAAGCGAAGACCAATGGAGTTTAACTCTGTCGAATGTGATACCGAATACGATTAAAGAAGTCAACTGTCATGGATCCTGACTCCTTAGTCTAGAGGTTAAGTGTTCACGCGGAAGACCGGAATTTTTGGATTCGATTCCCTCGTGCAGGATCATGGATGAGTGTCGGTTGAGGAGTCCCGTATTAGGATTAAACGGTCATTCAGTAGTTCTACGTTTTCAAAAAAGGTCTAGCTAAAAGCAGTTGATAATTTAAAATCTGTAAAAATCTTATAACCGTCTACAGCCTCATACTGTTAATTTAATTTATCATATAAGATAATTTCAGCATGTCAATGATAGAGCACTTTAAATTCTTAATTGATTTTTAGTATATGGAGCGAATATCACATTGAAACATTATTATCATCATTATTCGACCTACAATAATAATCCGTGTTATGACTAATGATGTTGGCATGTGCTACTTGAAATTATGAACAGTGAATGATAGGTATTAAGAGATTAAATTAATACATATATACTTTATGCAATCATTATATTAGAGATTTAAAGAACTTTTTGTGTTAAGTCATTCAATTCAATTTAATTTAAATAGTTATTACCTTGAGAGATAAATGATTGAATAAAGAAGAATTGAAAACATTCCAATTGTTTTACATAGTATTTAGAATGATATATATTACTCAAATGATATCTTCAAATATGTAAGGAAGGCGTCTAGGAACCTATATGTGTTCCACTGACAGATTCTTAATGATAGTAATAGGAATATTAGTAATAATAACAGTCGAAAGAATATTGTTGACATTGGAAGAAAAATAAAACTTATCAATTTAACAATACAAACTACAAATTCGACAAAAGTAGAATCCAGTTGAAAGAACTTATACTAATGCTGATGTGAAAAAATCAGTGATGATGTTGTTAAATCATCACAATCTTAAGTTACAGTTGTTTAATTAAAACATAAAAGATCATTATTTTTCTCAAATCTCAAGACGGAAGAAGTTGATGAATTTATATACTGTGGTCACAGGAGTTAGACAAGGCTCCCTAATCTCCTCTTTCCTCATTCTTTTGGTGCTCGACAGGATTATGAAGACCTCGACATCTGAGGGAAAACACAGAATACAATGGACATCTCAAAATCAATTAGAAAACTTGGACTTCATAGATGACCTAGCTCTTTTATCCCATACACACCACAAAATGCAGATGAAGACAACTAGTGTAGCATCAGCCTCAACATACACAAAGGTAAAAACAAGATCCTCAAATACAACACGGAGAACACCAACTAACCCAATCACACTTGATGGAGAAACAATCGAACAGATGCAAAGCTTCACGTATCTGTGTAGCATCATCGATGAACATTAAGGGTCTGATGCAGACGAAAAGGTGAGTATCGGCAAAGCAAAGAAAGCATTCCTACAATTGAAGAACATATGAAACTCGAAACAACTGTCAACCAATATCAAAGTCACAATCTTTAATACGAACGTCAAGACAGTTCTACTGTGCAGAGCTAAAACGTGGAGAGCTACCACGGGCATGATCAAAAAGTTACAATTAATTATAAACAATTAAACTACGCAAGATACTCAATGTTTGTTGGCCGGATACCATCACAAGCAGCCTAGTATGGGAGAGAACAAACCAACTTCCAGATGAAAAGGAAATTAGGAAAACACATTTGGAAGTGGATATGACATATATTGAGGAAATGATCAAACTGCATCACGAAGCAAGCCCTAACTTGGAACCCTGAAACGAAGCCAAAAAAGAGGAAGGCCGAATAACACACTACATCGGGAAATGGAAGCAGATATGAAAAGGATGAATAGCAACTAGAAAGGATTTCCCAGGACAGGATTGTATGGAGAGTGTTGGTGGGAGGACTATGCTCCTCCACGAGGGGTAACAAAAGTGTAAGTAAGTAATGGACGTATTTGAATACAGTACGTACGAAGTAAATGTGCATAAAAATAATCTTACAAACCCTATTCGGACACAGTATTATACAGTAAATCATAACACATACACACCACATTCACTCACTTCTTCTATGTAAAGCTTTGAATTTATTCTAACTTCCTAACAAAACGAATCAGTCAAGCGATATAAATTTATGTGGTGTTATGATTTATCCAATTTTTGATGTTAAAATATATGGCTTTGTGGATTTCATAGGATTCCCATAGTTTTTTTAAAAAAATCACAAACAGATTTTGGTTAGACAACCACTTTCATCATGAATAAGCACTGTTAAAGATTCGCATTCTAGAACGAAATGGATGTCCAATGGTTCTAGGATCTAGATAGTGGCCTGACCAAAATCAGTGTGTCAATTAAAAACTATGGAAAATCGATTGATTTAAGCATAAATTATTTTGTAGAAACTGATAAACACTATTTATTATATATGTATATATGATCAACTCAATTGATCACTGATAAACTTTAAAGAACTGGGAGGAACAAAATTCTCCTCCAGGGGAGAAACAAACAAAATGATGAATGTTTGACTGTAAGATTTACAAAAAGATGAATAAATTTCATCAAATGAAAAATAATAATACAATCTTTAAAATTTACAAAATAGCTAAAAGGTAACAAACTAATGGCATAGTATGCAATTGGATATAATAATAAACTGAGTATTTAAAAAGATAAGTTATTGATGATGAAGAAGAAGAAGCAGATCTGAAGTTTAACTGGATGAAAAGTAGACGCTAGCGACATTGTTGTTTAAAAAAAAACGATAATGAAAGCTTTGTCGCTTAACCATGTAGCTTAGAAGATATAACACTGTTAAATACATAATTGAATTTATTTATTTATTTAGTACACGTTTATGTATTCAGAAAGTTTAGTTACATTTTAGTTATATAACAGTTAGTACGATTATATCCCTATTACCCAACAACAAAATAGGTCGAGTGTGAGAGAGAAAGAGTAATGAATGAAAGTACTTTCTAATAATTAAGCACAAGTTTAGAATTCTAGCCACGAAAAAAAAATCGTTCTACTCTCCAAAACATAAATGATAATTAGAAGAAAAAGAATGATGATTTACTAAAGAAAATTAATCAACAATATTGAATTAAACCGACTTCAAACATTACACTGGTATGTTTTAATTAAGTGATCTTGTGTTTAAAAAAAAATGGAATTCAATAATTCTGAAGATAATTCATTGATAAGAAAAAACAACTGATTTCGTACAATAATAACATGATTTGCTTTTCGTCAAATCACAATAATTCAATATTAAAACACTGACCCCCCAAATGCCTTGGTACGGCCGAGAGTGGGGGATTCCGCTCTCCCTCTCCAAAAGATTTCATAAGCTACGCATACATAGCCTCTCCAAAGGAAGTCCTACTCACTGTTTTCTCGTGGCGCGGGTATTGTTTACGAATGTCCGTTGCTCTAACCGGGTTGGTGGACACGGAAAGTCCATTTATGGGAGTTGGAAAACCCTGATTCCAAACCAATGGTGCACATGGGCTGGCTCCAGTATCCTGAGGGAACAAATGGTGTATGAACCAATTGTTGGTCATCGGCTACCATGCGACCGTATCTCCTTACGATGCTCCACTGTCTTGTGGATCAAACCTTTAGGTCAAAGGTTCCGGGTGCGGCCCCCTAAGAAAACCATCTGCTTCGGTTTGGGCACCTGGGCAGTATCATGGCCCTCACATAAATCAAATGAGATTTGTGTGGCGCATATGTATCTGGTGCTTCCTTGTACCAATATTTATGTGTTTAAATAAATAAATAATTGAAACATTGAAGTTTTCCTATTTGTATTGGAAAATATATGAACTTTTTATCATTTAAACTTGTCTAAATTTAAAATAGAATATACTGACCTTTAGAATTTGGACAATATGTTAAACTGGCACCACGAATTTGTCCAAAAGAATTGCCTGGTGTATTAGGAATATAAAACCAAGTGTCACAACGAGGATCCAATGCTTCAACAGTTACATTTTGACTAGTAGTATATGTAGTGTTTGTATTGACAACTCCACCAATAACAACTATTAGATTTCGTGACGTCAAAACATTAGCACATGCTTCACGACGACCTATTTTAAGTATATGCAAAAAAATCAATAATTCAATTCTAATGTAACTATGTCCATTTTATGGGAAATTTCTTTTAAAAAGTGGGTGTTCATTAGCTACAACAATATTTATTCAATAAATATAAGAAAGTAATTCCTAGTTGGATGTTGAATTAATAAACACGGAGTTATCGTGAGAGATAACAAATTTTCTTCTTATAAACAAACTTATTTGAGGTCAAATCATATCATAATATATAGAGGGAGAAGATTTTATGCGTTGTCAATGAAAATAAATTTGAAAGTTCTTTTTGTCTTATTGCACCAATGGAATTTTTATTTCAAATCTACAGTTTAGTCAGAAAAAGAAATATGCCCCGTTCGACTAGACTTCTTGGGATAAGTTAATTACAGTTTGTGAAAGCATTCGACACATAACAACAGTCGGTTTTCATTAGATTAATTATATAAACACTAATTTCATACTGACTATAACAGTCCTCTATGGTATGATCACAACTAATTCATTTATCAATTATGGGAACACAAGAGAAAAGTCACGAAGTGAAAAAAGTTTGCGTTCAAGGGTAATGAATGTACGGAAAATCGTACGTCTTTATACTATTTAACGTAATCTTGAACGTCTAGGACGAAATCTAATAATACTAGCTAAGGCATTATCTTACCCTGTAACATGGACGGCATATAAACCCATTCATCTCTATCTGGAATGTAGGCTTCAACAGAAGATAGAAACTGTGAGCCTGATACTCCGCCAGCAACAAGGATTGATCCGTTTGTACTTGTGATAAGCGGTCCTTGTTGAAGACCACTAAGATCTACACCAACTGGATTAGTTCGAGCTTCATGTAAACTCCTTATCGTCTGCCAAAATGTAACACTTGATAGACCAGAACCATTTGAAGATGCATGATTATGTGCTATTGAATCTGTTCGTATACGGAAATCAGAACTTTTCCGAGAGCCATTTGTATACACGTGTTCGTCAAGGTTATCATGATGGCTTTTGGTTACCACTTCATGATTGATGAGCCAAGATCCCAGTGCCTCACATGTCAATCTACAAACATATATACAGACGGCGCGAAAAAAAAGGATAAGCTATCTGTCTTAGACAATACATGATGAACGTGGAACATAAAAGACAAATTGCTGAATAAATTAATTCGATGTTAATGTTATTAAAGTTGATAAGAATTTCACAAAGAAAACATAGATATCTAAAAATCAACGAGTAAATTGTAGGAAAGATAAGCTAAGGCAGTTATCCATCAGAGCCACTGGAAGATGGTTGCACAAAGTCGCAAACTGACTGAGGTTAGACAAGGTAAACCAGTGAATGCCGACTAAGTGGTCTAAAAGTTGAACGATCATCCCGAGACCTGAAGGTTCTGGGTTCGATCCACAGCGATGTCAGTCAGTCATATAAAATATATGTATATAGCATATATGTACATTGGTTCAAGTTGCCACAATCCATCAAGTACAGAGAGATGCTAGAATAGTACAAGTAGTAACAGTATTAGTGGTAGTAGAAAAAAAAATCAGATTTCGAAAATATGATTCGAGAAGAAAGTATGGATTCATGATATAAAAAAGATTTAAAATAATTAATAAACTTAGGATCTACAAAAAGGTAGTGAGTGAGTAAACCTGTGCAATCGAGAATAATGCTGAGCTTTGTGAACGAACATTTACAGTTATTTGTGACTGTTATCGTGCGAAACACAACAAGATAGTCTGCACACCCAGCTAATCACTAAAGAGTTCTATGCTGGGACAAATAAGTTGTTCAACACCCACTGGTTTTCTAACTAAGGTCAGTTCCTGATTTAAACTATGAAACTTAACAACCTTTAAAACCCCTCTAATAAAATCTATCTCTCTGTTACTTTAAGAGAAAATTCAATACGTCAAATCGCTTTGCAAAAAATAACCAAATCATATGACTATCTTATTTCAAATACAACAATTTCTTACAGAGGCGTTTGGTCAGTCAATAAGAACCTATATAATAAGAGTAATAGTTCTGGCAAACATAAAGTTTATTAAAGCAAACAAACAACTACTCAAACGGATTTAAAAACGGCAATTTTAGTCTACAGAAAAATCTTGTTAGGCGAACTATTTAAGACAGCGATCAAATTTACCCGTGAAAAAAACTTTTTGTTTATAGAAACAAGAGAGACAAATTGAATTTTTACTATCGTGTAAACTTGTAAAATCATAGAAAATAATATGCCACAATTAAATTAGATAGTTATTTACTAGTCTGTTTGAAAGTGTTGTTTTTATATAAAACAAATAACAATACAAACTATGCAGATATTTAGGTCAAACTGCTTTGAATTCAACTCATTTGACTAAGGAAAGGAATGCTTAAGTTAATAAAAAAAATGAACATACTAATTCACTAAATAATTAACAATTTTATTTATTTAAACACAGAAATATTGGTACAAGAAAGCATCAGATATATATGCGCCGTACAAATCTCATTTGATTTGTGTGAGGGCTGTGATACTGACCAGGTGCCCGAACCGAACCAGGTGGTTTTCTTAGGGGATCACACCCGGAGCCTTTGACATAAAGGCTGAATCTACAAAGCAGTGGAGCATCGTAAGGAGATGCAGTCCCGTGGTAGCCGGTGACCAACAATTGGTTCATACGCCATTTGTTCCCTCAGGATACTGGAGCCAGCCCATGAGCACCATTGGTTTGGAATCAGGGTTTTCGACTTCCATAGGTGGACGCGGCATGTCCACCGACCCGGTTAAAGCGCCGAACATTCGCTTTTCGTGCTCTCATTTTCGTAAACAACACTCATGCCACGAGAAGGCAGTGAGTAGGACTTCCCTGGAAGAGGTTATATACGCGTGTCCATGTGAGAGCAATTCGAGAGAGAGAGAGCGTATTCTCCCCACTCTTGGCCGTACCAGGGCAATATCTCATTGATGCTACTTTCAAATAATAAAAGACAATTGCTAATTGAAAGATAAATGTCACTAGTAAGAAAAGAATAGTAGAATACATATCCATACAAATTGAAATATTCAATGATTTGTTTATCTGCAAAAGTTGGGACTAAATTTAAATAAACCAGTATTAGGCAGTCTACAACAAGAATCATATCATTACGACACAAGTTGAATTAAAAAATATTCAGTAGCTAAACAACTGTTTAGCTTCGTCTTAAATTTCTATCTCTTCCCTGATAGTTTTATCAAGCATAATTTCATGCGTGTGATCGAATACTAATAGCTGTAAACTGTGTTATCCTCAAAGGAAAAGTTAAACCACTGGAAAAAAATTAGAAAACGAAGTGTTAGCTTTTTTTCTTTTGAATATTTCATAGTCTAATATCCACCAATATAGATGCAGACTAGTTGGAAACATAATTTATAAATTATTGGAGAAATGAACCTCTTAATTTGTGCAGTATTCCTAACATTTGTAGCGAAATTGTAGTACATTGACGTCATTGAGCGATCCTTAAACTATCTTTAGAAAATTTAATTTAAAGCCAGCGAGAATACATTATAGGCAAAAATGTATAGTGGCTAGCAGTTGAATCCAGGCAACATGCACAGTATGCACATATGGCCAATAAGCGACTAACCAGTTGCAGTACTAAAAATCAATGGAAAGATTCAAACAAACAATACTAAATGAATTTATAGTCACAATATGTTCGGTATATTTATATATATACTCCATATCATTTGGCCTATAGATATCTTATAAGGCTGAAGAAAGTTTTTAACTAGACTCCACATAGCTTCTACGTTGTAAGAGTGGACACTAATTGTGAGGTTTGCAAAATGACACTTGTGTACCACCAAGTGATGGATATTTCCATGTCTGTGAAGACATTGAAACGCTCTCCAATCTTTTATGTAGATTGTTGTTCCTGGCAGATGTGTACAAGCGAATCGGATAAGTTATAGCTTTCTCAATTTTAGTGGTAGGTTTTCGGAACTTCAGATAGAACCACACAAAAGGACATTTTCTTAACTTTGGAGACAGAAAGGCCTCAATTCTCTTGTCAATTACTGTAGCCCTATCATTAAAACCGAAAAATATCTGCTGAAAACACGTATACACAAAAATGCTGTGCGTAGATTTATAAAGTAATGTTTAAAAGATGAGGCACGTAAAAAATCAGCGTCAATCAACGTTTGCTGCCAACATAAATCCTTAGATCTATTATAATTTCCATTGGGAATATATCATTTTCAAAAAATATATATATTCAACATAAGTAACTCACTTATCTACAGAAGCTAAATCTTTAGAGCCTGTTGAGCCACCACAAGCATAGATTATATCCGGAAAATCAGAAGAAGATTGTAAATAACTAGATACTACAGCTAACCGACCTCTTTGTTTTGTCAGTCGTGGACCAATAATAGAAGGAGATACAGGAGAATCTTCATCGTTACATGATTCATACTGTTGATTATGGTTGTTTTCAACAAATAATTCCACACTATCTAAACAACCTTTACGATTATAACCGCCAATAATTGCAATGTAATGCTTTGAATTACAACTCAATTGTCCAATGCCAAAACTTGACCGAGCTTCTAACATACGTAATGGGGAATCTTGACCCGTACCATCATTATGATTAATGCAGAGAATTTCACTTTGATAAATTTGATCAGTGAATGACTGACGAAGTAAAGACGATCCAACAATAGCTCGTGCTAAATTTGAAGCAGAACTGGCAGTCATTGTATGGGTTACTTCATCTAATATTTTGATGAATAAACACATGGAATAATAGAAAACAAATCCCGACGAAAAAGAGATATGAAAACATCAACACACTCATATAATAAAAAAACTGATAAGATGTTGAAGTCAGTTAGTCAGTCAGCTACAACGTAGGACCAGGCACATATATATATATATATATATATATATATATATATATATATGCATCGGTTCAAGTTGTCATACCTCATTAGCAAAACAAGATGAACACCAAATTCATACAAGCATTACTTCAATGGTGGTAATATATAGAAGAAAGATTGTATATAAGGATATAATATAGGAAGAAAGAATTAGTTCGTAGAGAGAAAGGCATAAAGTAATTTTCATTTCATGGTTTAAGGGAAGACAAAGAGTGTATACACCTACGTCATCGTGATCAATTCTGAGCCATGTCACCCAGAGTCCCAAATCATTGGTTACAATAGTCGTGCAGACCCCAACCAAGTAGTTTGAATCTACCAAAACGATTCAGACTAGAGGTTAGTGACTTCAAGCACTAATGCCGTGTTTTGGTTTGGCCGCCCGTAACTCTCTCCCAAACATCCCCTATACTAGTCAGCATTGCGCGTCGTGGTAACCGGTGTTCAGGCATACGTAACATGTGGCCCAACCATCTTAGTTGATGGAGATTTACAACCTCGTCAAATGATTTTCCATCATTCCCTAATACCTTGTGTCTAACCTCACTATTACTTACCCGGTGATCCCAGCAGATGCTGGCAATATTTCTAAGACATCTGTGATTAGGTACTAGCAACTTATGAACGTCTTCTACTCTTAATGGCCATGTTTCGCAGCCATAAAGTAGAACAGAGTGAACTGCTGCGTAGTATACTCGTCCCTTAATTGATATACGAATATCTCGTCTTCGCCATAAGTGACGTGAGTTGGCAAAAGCCAAACGAGCTTTCTAAATCCGTGCCGAGATTTCGTCACAAACCGATTTATTAGGGCTGATCGGACTTCCAAGATAAGTGAAGTTGTCGACGCATTCGACTACTTCACTCCCTATCCTCAGTTCACGTGTTGATGCAGACGAGTCCTGGAGCAATAATTTACATTTAGAGGGTGAGAAACGCATCCCAAACATCCTGGCATTGTTACTCAGTGCTACCAAAATACTGCATTTTATCAGCGTCTTCACCAAACAGGACTATATCATCTGCGTATTCCAAGTCAATAAGTGGATCTCTTGGTAAGAGACCATTTCCTGAAAATTCAGTCAACGAGAGTTATTTCTAGTAGTAGGTCTTTGATAAAGTTAAATAAAATGGGGACAGTGGACAGCCTTATCAAACACCACTTGAGGCTGTAGAATCAGATGACAGTTCGCCATAAGCTCTCACTCGACTGGTAGTGTTCGAGTAAAGAGCCTTCACAAAGCTTATTTACTTCTGAGGTACACCTTTCAATGACAAACACTGACACAGAACCTCTCGGTCTACTGAGTCAAATGCTGCTTTCAAGTCAAGAAAAACTATCATTGTCTGACACCGATAAGAATGCCCGAATAGTGAATATGTGGCCGATACAGCCACAACCAGGTCTGAAGCCAGAATGATTTTCTCGTGTTCGCGGTTTATGAGTCTTAGTTAGGCGCCCGATAATTATTGAGGCTAGTATTCTAGATGCTATATTAGTCAAACTAATGCCTCTATGGTTATCACAGGATAATTTTAGCCCCTTCTTATATATTGGGACAATTAGTGATTGTGACCAGTCAGATGGGATTACGTCCAACTCCCAAATTTTAGCTAAAATATTAGTCAACCTAATCGCTAAACTTGGACCACTACATTTAAAGACATCTGGAGTCAATCTATTTGGACCAGCTGCTTTTCCTCGTTTCAGATTAGCTAAAGCCTTTTGAACTCCAATTAGACTCGGGCAACCTACTTCAATGTTCCATTCAGACTTTGGGAATGGTGAGAGTTTAAACATGTATTCCAGAATGAGCGAGCCTTCTATCGAGCCTCTCCAACGATGACTGGTGGCAATATGGTCTATTTCGGTCAGTTGTTGGTTTGCTGCAGGTGGTCATCATGTTAGACGTTGTCTCTCCTTATGCTTAAAAATAGTGTTTGCTAAAAATAAACGATTGTCTGAGCACAGTTGCAACAGACGATCACCATTATCAGTTCGCTGAGCCGGAATACTAAAATAACCACCTAAATGTTTTTCTGTTAAGTTTAAGCTACCTACTTGGGCATTAAAGTAACCTGTTACGAGTACTATGTCTGAATGTATGGCTTTTTGAAGAAGTTCAGAGAGTTTTCTGTGAAATTGACCTTTCACTTCATCAGGGCTGCAGTCAGTGGGAGTGTAGGCAGAAACGACGAAAAGGCAACGACGTGTGTCCCCATCCTTCAGAGTTCTTATCGAGTCACTTAACAGGACAGCATATAGACGACTGTTAACGGGGATCCATTCTAATAGTGCCTTTTGTGCTCTCGTACTAAAAACTATGCCTACACCTGCAAGTCCACGAGAGCTAGCCATAGGCTCGCCAGATACACGGAGGGTGTATTTCGTTGGCTCTCCATTTTGGCGAGGTGAGGTCAAGTGAATGACCACACTAGGATCCTGTATGCGTGTTTCGGAAACACAGCATACATGAATGGTACGAGGTTCTATGGTTTCAGCCAAGGAGGCCTGTTGGCCGATTTGACATACGGTACGTACGTCGAAGGCTCTAATGTGTAATTTGAAGTGAGGTTTCAATAGACTTGGGACAGTGTTTCGCGCACTAAAATCGTTGGCAATGGTGACACTTGAGGGAGAAGCAGAAAGAGGAAGTTTAGTGTTGAAAGTCGACGAAGGAGAAATAATAGACATTGAAGCAGGAGATTGATTATGAGTACAGTGATCTTGAGTGCTGTTATAGGTATGAGGGCAGTTACCTCTTCCCGGTTGCCCACACCGTGGAAGGGTTCTTCTGGAGGTACCTGAAAAGGAAATTGGATTAGAAGAGGTCTCAGTGACCTGAGAGCGTGACCGCAGTGCCCAGGGAACAACTGCTTGAGGTCGGTCACATACGACATTTTCGTGAGTACTTTTTGTATTAGCTCCGTACTTGTCGGAACCTTACCGCCGGAGACGAATATCCGTGGGATTAGGCAAGGTGTGCAGTTTTAGGGTCGACCTTTTTCAACCCTACGCGTCCTTGTGGGAAGGCAGCATCGGTGTTATGTTGGTTTTCTGAGGAAAACACCTTACTGCTGTCACACCTCTGTACAGACAGCAGTACGACTTTGCCTTCGGGCCTTAAGTTTGCTGCTTTTAGTCTTACAGCTCTTCCACCGACCTGTCTAGCATGGAAGGACCTTGAGAAACGGTTGTTCCAACCAGTATAGCTCGATCGGTTCATCACGATAGGCAAACCTGACCACCATGTCAAGGTAGCAGCAACGGTTGGAGCATGCAAATTATTCCCTTTGTTCGTAAAAATATAGAATTCTATCATCTTGGGCTGTCGAAAAGAAAGAAATCACGTTACTCAACAAAATGCAAACGGACTTTTATAACAAAACTACTAACAACAATACTTTTCCTTTTAAAGAGGCGAATGACTGATTAAGTTTGTCATGCAAAATTTTTTTTAAAATTGCAAAAGTCTAGACATAAGATTTTAGGTGTATATTAATGAGTTCACTAAGTTAAGAAATTATACTCCCAACACTTAAAACCAAGAAGTGTTCTATTACAAATGCGTGAGTGTCTGGAAGCTCTCGTTGGTTTTCATTACACAAGGCAATTTATTCCGAAGAAAGCTAATAAAGAGGGTAGATCAGAAGTGACGGCTTTGCCGATCAGAGCGTGACTACAGAGGCCAAACACTCGAAGCTGATGACAAACGACCACTTTACTTCGGAACCGAAAATCCAAAGAAAAATAGAGAATTTTCAAGACCGACATCTGATATATCATATTATTTGATGGAAGGTGGATGTTGCTAGCTAACCTTTGGAAACTACTTGCTGATACTACCTCTTAGTGAAGTCGACAGAATCAATTATGTCGTGGGTTTAAGTTGTTTTTGAGATAAACTGATGTATGACAGCCAAAATATATCTTTATTACTTTCAGAAACCTGGATGATTACTAATTATGGCTAAGTGAACTGATAATAAATCATGTTGTGGACAAACAGTGAACTTACCAGGCATATGGTCACCAGTTTAAACCATATCCTTATAACTACTTCTGGTAGGACAGCTGCGTACTACTTCACATGGCTCATTATTTACATCAGATTTCAGATGTTCGCAAAGTGATGTTTCCTCGCTGAGAGTTATTTATATCCCACATTTGCAGTTTCTCTTCACATAATGAAATCAGCAAACCGCACCTAGAAACAATTCAGAACTCTTACTATATGTTATGACTCAGAAACGACTTTTCAAAATAAGCGTTAACTATCTAGAAACTTCAGCGTAAGTATCTGAACACATTGGGATGTACATACCTGAAAATACTAGCAATGGGACAAAATGTACGTATTAGATGTAGTATAATTCGTTCTGTATAAAATAAAGTGAAAACTTGGTTTTTAGAATAAATGACAAGCTTGATATATAAACGAACTTGTGATTAGTGAAATTTATTGAAAAGGATGAATTTCAAAACTACTACAAATTAGTTCGTATAAAGTACTCTAAGGTGCTTACACAGTAAACTGATATACATATAGAGGAAAAAACAATGGGTTTTATGTAATCTCCACCTACAAACATTATCCGATTTCGGCACAGCGGTTCCCGTACACTTGGGGAATTCTGAACAGATACTTTCGGCACAACATTTGGTAGTGTTAATTTCATTTTCCATTATACTATTTAAATCATTTGGTACACTGGACGTATTCGAAATAGATGAACCACGACTTTGATGACGACTTCGTGACTGATTGACTTCATTCATTAATTCTTGATCCAACTGTTGGATAGATCTATGTGTCGGGGGATAACGTTTTATCGATAGGCTAACCAAATAACCTGCTAATTTGGCTAACCAAATTGATGTCGATCGAACTATATATAAAATGAAAACGAAAATGGAGTTACAGTAACAATATGACTAGGAACTAGATTTTTGCACGTTACCAACACAATAATTAATCTATTCATACAATGGACTTGAGTATCATCATAAGAAGCCATTACATTAACACATGATAAATTAAAGAAATTGGGAAACATCGATCAAAAAAATATTTATATCTCAATAAAAAATACACCAAATACCATATTACTTTACAAACTAGACAGTGAATTTTACTTAGTATTGTTTGTTTGGATCTTCCCATTGATGCTTAGGACTGCAACTGGTCAGTCTTTTATTGGCATATGTGCCTATTGCCTCGATAGCGCCTTAATTCACAAGCATTATAAGCAAAGATTGATGGTGGCTAGCAGTGGAATCCAGTTTGACGGGCGTTTCGTCCTATTTGTGACTTGTCAGCTGTATGTACCTGCATCTCAGAGTTGATGTTCACTCTGGGACTCGAACCCAGTACCTTTCGCTTCAAACACCATCGCGTTATCCACTCGGCCACTGAGTCCTGATAGCTATTTGCTTGTGCGATGGGGTGAAGTTTAAATTTACTTAGTATTGTTTGTTTGAATCAGGACTCAGTGGCCGAGTGGATAACGTGATGGCGTTTGAAGCGAACGGTACTGGGTTGCAGTTCCACAGTGAACATCAATTCCAAGATGCAGGTACATCCAACTGACCAGTCCCAAATGGGACGAAACGCGCGTCCTGGATTCCACTGCTAGCCACTATCCATCTTTGCTTAGACAGTGAATTGTTGTGTCGTTTTACATATTATACTGTAATTGAACTGATTTCTTCCTCTGCTGGAATCTGGTTTGTTCTCTCCCACACACTAAGAAGAAATCAAACTTATTTATACAGAATAAAGTTGTCCTTGGACAGCATTACAAAATAGCACACTAAAAAGATACAACGGACTAATAGCGTTAGAGATATTTCCAAGTGGGAAATACGGCTCGAAGGTGGAAGGAGCGCTTTTGGACCAAAAACAAGGAAATTCAAATTTTCAAAATAAAATTACAAAAGTAAGTCATTCACCAAGTAATTTCTGGGGATTTCACATCCCCAACAGAGTTCCAGACGTCCTTCCAATGTAAATATGCTGCTCTTACTTTGCCGATCCGCGCCCTCATATCTGCGTAAAATCCAACGTGTTTATCGTTGATGCTGCCCAGATATGTAAGGGTTTCCACATCCTCAAAAGCTTCTCCGTCAAGTTTGATTCAATTGATGCATGTTGTGTTGCATTGGAGAGTCTTGCTTTTCCCTTTGTGTATGTTGAGACCTACTGCTGCTGAGGCTACTGCTACACTGATCGTCTTCTTCTGCATTTGTTGCTACGTGTGCTAGAAGAGCCAGATCATCTAAATCGTCCAGCTGCATCCTAGCTGTCCACTGTATCCATTTCTTCCCTCCAGATGTTGACGTCTTCATGATCCAGTTGATCACCAGGAGAAAGAGAAAGGGTGAGAGTAAGCAACCTTGCCGGACACCTGTTTTTACTTCGAATGAGTCAGTGAGCTGTCCTCCATGCACGATTTGGCAGTTTAATCCATCACAGGAATGCCGTATGATATTGACTATTTTCTCAGGCATGACGTAGTGTCAAAGAAGCCTCCATAGTGTTGTCCTGTCATCTCTATCAAATACCTTCTCGTAGTCAATGAAGTTGATGTAGAGTGATGAATTCCATTCAATTGATTGTTCCACAATGATCCGGAGTGTTGCTATTTGGACTGTACACGACCGGTCATTACGGAATCCAGCCCGCTGATATCGAAGTTGGGTGTCTACGGAGTACTTCATTCTGTTTAACAATACCCTGTTGAAGATCTTTCCTAGTATTGAGAGAAGGGTAATGCCCCTGTAGTTTTCACACTTGCTGAGATCGCCTTTCTATGGTATTTTGATCAGGATTCCTTCTTTCCAGTCTGTTGGAGCTTGTTGTTCATCCCAAATCTTACTGAAGAGAATGTGGAGTATCTTCGCAGTTACTGCTACATCTACTTTCAGTGCCTCTGCCAGAATGTTGTCTGGTCCTACTGCTTTACGGTTCTTGATTTGCCCAACTTTGTAATTAATATATTAACTAAAGCCGTTTTCTAGTGATCGTTTATTTATTATTTCCTTAGTTGGAAGCGTGAGCCAATTGAAGCTAGACCACCATGGAAAACCTGGAAACACTGGACGGCCGTTTCGTTCTATTATGGGACTCCTCAGCAGTGCACATCCACGAACCCGCTCTCGCGAGCGAGACTCTAACCCAGGACCTACCAGTTTCAAGCCAAAGCCCTTAACCGATAGACCACTGAGCTGGCATCCAACGGTGTTAATGTCTTCGAGAAGTTTATCTAGGAGCTCCAGTGAGAAGCAGTGAGCAGTGGAGTTCAAAACCACGTCTGTTGTGAGATAGGAACTCACTGAAGACAATTGGTGAATGGTTGCTCAACTTCGTGGATCAGTTGAAGTTAGACATTAACACCGTTGGATGCCAGCTCAGTGGTCTATCGGTTAAGGGCTTCGTCTCGAGACTGATAGGTCCTGGGTTCGAATCACGCTCGCGAGAGCGGGTTCATGGATGCGCACTGCTGAGGAGTCCTATAATAGGACGAAACGGCCGTCCAGTGTTTCCAGGTTTTCCATGGTGGTCTAGCTTCAATTGGCTCACGCTTCCAACTATGATAAATGCTAAATCTCCACAAAACCCCTTCTGATAATTAATATTATTTCCTTATCAAATTTTGTCATTGTCACAATACAGTATGAAATGGTATACTAGTATCATCCAGTGAACTTGATCACTTTTCTAGAAACTTGAATGATCATTATAAATGTATGTTAATACCGCTTTGTTTTTGTTAGGCTGTGTACTTTATCCATTGACCTTGAACTCTATATAATTATTATTTAGTTCAGAAACTGATAGTTAAACAGCAACTAAATAATATCCTATGAAATAGAAGTATAAAGCAATTTATTTGGTAAATTATAAAATTTCATTTCACTTAGAAGCTGTTTCTGTTTGTTAACTTCTTTTCAGCTATTATTTTCTGATTATTAAAATCAACGGTAGTCGCATCTAGCCATTTGAACCCTTGTTTATGTTGATTTCATGATTAAAAATAATGATTGGATAGAAATTTGCATAGTTCTAATGTATAAGATACGAAAATACGTTATCAGTTTTACTACTACCCATAATTCTCGGTACTGCAAACATATGAGGTGCAGGTTTATTCACTCGGCTTTTGATCTACAGTCTTTTTGTGTGGTAGCACAGTAGGTGAAAACTGGAGACTGTGGTTTCGTCACACTATCGTTATTAACTTATCAGTCCACATACGATTCTTGTTGCCAGTTATATGCAGTAGGATAATCGGATATATTAATTAGTTGGTGATAACACTAACAACTATCAAGTCTATCGATAAACTGTAAGTCAATTCAGAGGGTTTATAGAACCATGTGTGGACCCCAACACCTCTTGACGTCAAGAAGTTATGGAAACTTGATATTAGAAGAAGGGTTGAGAAAGGAAAGATATCTTACTGTGCGGCCATGTTGACGCTAATTCCAGTTAATTAAATATTTAAGTCCTAATGAACTTGTTTTGTTTCAGACATTGAACTAACATCTCTAGTCGTTATTCAACAAATACAATAAATTTGTAGTTAATTAACTAGTTTGAATTGACATGAACGTTTATGAAGATCAAAATTATATCTACCATTAATTTCTTCAGAAGTATTATGCCTGGACATACATCATAGTTATGTTTATCAGTACCATTTCATTTATAAGACTTATTATCAGTTTGGGGATTTGTGGAGATTGTACTATTTTCGCAATTGAATTCATGAATCGATTTAATCTAGACAAGCACTGAAAACTCGGAAGTTCGGGACACCTAAGCAGTACGCATCCACGATCCCGCATGTAGGACTCGAACTGAACAGTAACTAATATATTAAACATCTCAATTCTAAAGGAGGTTAACAATGAATAAAGTGGTGTTGTCTCAGATTATGAAACTGGGTGACGTACATTCGAATTCTATGGGTATTACCGAGTTTCATTTATAACTGTGAGTACACTTTGTTGATAAGTGTCAACTACCTTTAGACCTAGGACAAGAAGGGTTTTTTCTGCTGAATACTTACAACCATCTGACAAAATTTGCCACAAATGTTGTGGATTGATTGGAATTAGACATAACAACGCTGGATGCCGGCTCAGTAGTCTAGAGATTAAGTGTTTGCGCGTTAGACCGAAGGTCTTGAGTTCGAGTCCCGCGTGAAGGATCATGGATACGCACTGCTAAGGAGTCCCATACTGGTGCGAAACGGCTGTTCAATACATCCAGATTTTCAATGATGGTTTAGCTCAGATCGACTCGTGGACTCAGCTGTTAGAAATAAAAATTTATTGCAATACCATAGGACAAGTAGAACGATCAATACGTTAATTATTTCAATGAAGATGGTACTTACAATGTGAAATAAAACCATTTGTAGCATGAATATCAATGAAAGGATTAGTAAACCTCTTTCTAATTGGTAGTCTAAACATTATACCCGTTAAATAAGTTAGTGGATAACTGTATTCAATACCTTCAAAGCTTATCGCAATCAATCTATTCTGTAAAACATTTTTCGCGCAATAGAAAAATTCAATCACAAATACCAGTATTACACAGATGTACAGTAAATTACGTATTCTAAGTATACTAGAGCTTGAGCATGAGTGTATGATGGCTTGTAGTGATAATCTGCTGAAAGAAAAGAGATTTAAGCATGTCACTTATTCAGTTTAATGCTTTTTAACTACCAAGAGACAGTACTTAAAGACACTTATTTCGCTAGCAAATTCGAAACATTGCATCACATGAATAATCATTATTGAATGACTAGGTTTTGACAGGGTACAATCGATTTAGTGACAAACATAGAGAGAACTTCAAAGTTTTAAATAATAAGAAATTAAGGCATTAGTTAAACACTAAAAGGTGTGAGAAATTACTAAATTACATGATATAGAATAATAATACGTCTTGATTTGTGAACGGACTGGAAAATATTAGTTCGCTTTTTTTAAAATCAAATCATGGGTAGTTTAACTATGAACACTTTAACTGTAAAACGTTAACAATTTAGCTAAGAACTTCAAGGAATGGTCGGGAGCTAATGTTAAACTCTCAAGAAAACTAAACATCTTCTAAGTACTAGAACTCAAACTTTCTTATGTCTGACAAATAAAACCAGGTAATTCTGAATAAGGAGACAAAAATAAAATGGATATTTAATAAGTGTATTGTATTATTATTATTATAGTGTTACAGACAACTGACGGTTCCCTCATTAAATGACAATCGAAAACAGTGAGCAAGTATGATTGCACAGTAACGATTATAATTTTTTCTCATAATAAAACGAATCCCTAGATAGATTCTAGATAACTTCTAAAAAATTATGGCGATTCTCAAGACTTGTGTAATTACAAAGACTGTGATATTACTTTGTTGAGTATAAACTTTTTGTCATCTGTTAAGTTATTAGTTGCAATGGATAAATATACAATGTGGTTTAAACTGTGACCTGATGGCCACGGATATACAGCAACTGTCAGGGAAGTCCTACTTACTACCTTCTCGAGGTGGGGGTGTTGTTTATGAAATTGAGAGGTCGAGAAGCGAATGCCCAGAGATTTAACTGGAAAATATGGCTGCTTAAAGCGATAGGCTAAGAAAGTAAACCTAGACTTTGACAAAATGGTTCCAATTAAAACTATTAATTTACGCAAAACAATATATTAAATACGAAAATGCTGACAAATAAAAATAAAAACAGTCACATTATATAATCAAAGACATTTCATATTTTTACTTACTTCCAAGAGATGTTGGTGCCAACAAACAAGTCTCTGATTCTTGATTACCAGTTGTTAAACAAACAGTTAATAAACTATGCCCAATCTACAAAGAAAAATTTCAATTTGTAAGTTAGGAGTAACAAAACAAATTTATGTTTTAAATAAGATCAAACTTTATGCAGTCAGTCAGCTACAACGTAGGACCAGGCACATATATATATATATATATATATATATATATATATATATATATATGCATCGGTTCAAGTTGTCATACCTCATTAGCACAACAAGATGAACACCAAATTCATACAAGCATTACTTCAATGGTGGTAATATATAGAAGAAAGATTGTATATAAAAATATAATACAGGAAGAAAGAATTAGTTCGTAGAGAGAAAGGCATAAAGTAATTTTCATCTCATGGTTTAAGGGAAGACAAAGAGTGTATACACCTACGCCATTGTGATCGACTCTGAGCTATGTCACCCAGAGCCTTAAATCATTGGTTACAATAGTCGTGCGGACCCCAACCAAGTAGTCTATATCCACCAACGTGGCTCAGACCAGAAGTTAGTGACTTCAAGGACTGCTACTAGGATTTGGTTTGGACGCTCCTAACTTTCTTCCAACTGTCTCTAACACTAGTCAGCATTGCGCGCGAATTCATGCATAAACCAAATTATTGATAATCACAGGTGTGATTTCCTTTCTTTCAATTTGTTTTTACTTCATACAGATTTTTTTTGAAATCGAAAAGAAAAAAAACAATCGTAGATAATGGAATATCTAACCTTCAAATGAACTGATGTAAATGCAATTATTATTTGTGTAGTGATCCAAGTAACCACATTACAAATTGTCATTGTGAGTAGAAGTAAACAAGAACAGTAAACATAAGATACTTGATAAAATTTATGGGTAGCAAGTTATTTAAGATATACACAAAGTTGAATGCATTTGCACTACTGAGATCAATCAATCTAACGGGTACCACTTAACCATAACTTGCGGAATGCATTTAGAAGGTATATATATATATATATATATATATATATATATATATATATATATTCCTGTAAACTATAAGCTACCAAGCAGTGACAAAATGAATTATTGATGAGATTTGATCTAGCTATCTCATCTCTTTTATAAATCTGATTCAGTAATCATTCAGTCAGCGTTCACAACTTCATCAACAAATTGAGTTCGTTTGCTGAATAATATACTTATTGGTAAATGAATGAACACTTGAATCGGTTTCCTAAACTCTTTTAATAACAACAGGTTAAGTCTACAAGATAACGTGAACATCAGAGAAAAGGTGTGAAATGTGAGAAGAACGCTTTACTGTAAAGTTAATTTATGTACAGAAAAACGATGGTATTTATAGTGTTTCAGATTACCCTGAGCTTCTGGGACCGTATTGAATATAGCAGCACAGTACGTAATCATCCGATCAGAAATGCAATATGTAACTCTTCACTATTTAGATGTTTCTGAGAAATTTCTATTCAATGCTGATTAGACAAAATGTTTCCCAACCGACCTTTTCAAAGAATACTTTAGATCCCCTCAACACCTTTCTTCTTTCACAAAATAAAACTTTATCTTTTGGTCTACTTGTCATATCAAATTTGTATAAAAAAGTATACATAGCCACTGATTTAATCTTAGTTACCGATTATCTACTCATAACTCCTGTGATCTTGACATAAAGTTAAAATAGTAATATATATGCTGTTTTATTTCTAAAAAAAGTCCAAAAATAGTCAAATTAAACAAGGGACAGTTTCATTTTCTAAAAATGTCCTACACACAGTGCACTGAAGTAATAGGAGACAATCGAAGATGGTTGTGCGAATTGACAGAAGTCAGACATCCAAACCACTGCATTTCGAATCAGTGGCCCGAAGGTTATGAGCTGTATGCAAAACCAGAATGTCACAGTTTCGATTCACATTGATGGAACCGCAGATGCGCATTGTGAAGAAATCACACTAGGACAAAACAGCTGTTCAGTGCTACCTGGTTTTTAGTAGTTGTCTAACTTTAGCAGATCATGATCTCAATAACAATCAGAAATACTACAATTCAAACAACTAATTGGATTCTCTACTTATAGGTAGGTGGAAAAAATGCTAACGAAGAAAACAAGCAATTAGTCAAGAAATGAGTCTACACTACCACCAACCAAAATAGAGTACGTCTTTTTGACCGTGAATCGATTAGTTAATGTAGTCGCTTTTTCAACACATGTGACGAGTTTCGATTTTTTTTCTTCCAGCCCAAAAACGTGTTTTGTAACATCAATTAGTTAACCACAGCATCATTTAGTTGTTTTCTATGTCCGACAACAACAACAACAACAACAAGAGATTAGTCTGCAGTTTACTTCCCTCAGAGATAAAAAAAAACGAGATTGACAATAATATTACAGGAGATAACACATGTGAAAGACTGATAACAATGAGAGATTTTAGTGTGTTTTTTACACAATAACAAATAGTTTACGTAGTTACTTTACCATAGAAGAAAAAAGGATTGATACTACACTACAATTATTAATCGTAGACATATATAATGTGTACATCTGGATATGTATGGATGGTATGGACGTAAACATGAGTGTGTTATCATCTCTAATAGCATGGAAACCAATACAAGCATTGAAAAAAAGAACGAAATCGTAGACAGGGATACTATATATATATATATATATATATATATATATATATATATCGACCGAAAATTATCCAGTCTGAAAGCATAACATATTTTACAGATGTTCCTTTAACGTATACACCTAATTTATAAACATGAGCTCACCTGATATGCAACACTCAAAAAAACGAAAACGAAGTCTACAATAATCACATGAAGAACAGAAAACATACTAAGTGACTAATAAACTAATATCGAGGTTCAGTTGTTTGTTTTTGAAATGAATCAATTTTTCAGCGACCGTTGAATCATTCATAAAAAGATCTTATCAAACGATATGCCATCCTCATCAACGCCCCTAAGTCTGACCTTAGCATTGGTTACTCTGTTGTTTCACCATGAGTAATGCTTCAAAGACTAGTTACCTACGGATGTCCTCTACTCTTCAATACCACGTTTCACAGCTGTAAGGTATAATAGAGCAAGCAGATGAGCAGTATACCTTCTTTTGGTTGTCAGATATACGACAGCTCACCTACGACTAAAACATATACGTTCAGCTCTAAAGTGTGTCTTGGAATACTCTAGGAATGCGATTGAAAGCAGTGAATTGTTTATAAAGTAGAATACATTGGTAGACTATATAGTGTGTGTCTTGTAAAACGAATTACTAGAAGAATTTTATGATCAATTCTTGGAAGCCAGCAATATATATATATATATATATATATATATTCGAAGCCTCCTTGTACCAATGTTTATGTGTTTAAATAAACATCGGTTTTACATACAAGTCAAAATATGAGAAATTGCAAGCTTAGCCGACTCTTTTAAAAAAAAACGTTAACCATATTACATGTATCAGTGTTAAGTCATAATATACTGAGGACCTTATTTGTACAACATGAAATACTCTATGAAAAGTGTTATTTTGTTAGTGTCACTGATGAACCGTCATTCAAACCTAGAAGCGAAATTAAAAATCTTCATAAAATCACGGCGACCAAAGAGGGGAAGGAATGAAGTAAAAACATATTTTAACAGATATATTGATTTAGCAAAACATTTAGACCTATAAATGCACTAATCTTTCTCATTCTAGATAAAATTTCATAGCAGTTGATATTGTGACAAAAACAATAACTTTATTATCAGTAGTATAGGGTTATGGAGATTACTGAATTTCATTGAAATCATAAACCGATCAAAGTTCAATAACCTGGGGAGTCCCACACTAAGATGAAATGTCAGTCCATTGCCTCCAGCTTTCTAATAGTTGTCTAACTTTGATTGGTTCGTGATTTCAATGGAATTACTTTATTATTTTTTAACTAAATGAGATTATGTGAGGTAATGGTGGATAAGAAAACATAAGAAAAGTGGGACATTAAGATAGGATACTAATATGCCATAGTAGATGTGTGCATTTTATTAAATCAATCTCTTTCTTAATAAGTATCTTTTCTAGTCAAGTCAAACAAATGGTCTGATAATATACATAGTTTACATTTATACAATACTTAAGAAAACGAAGTTGACATTAAACAAAAAAAGTTTTATCGCTACATACTACATTGATATGATCAAGATGTTGATGATTCCGATAGCCGATTTATAGCACCATAATGAAAAATGAGTAATGAAACAAATTACCCTTAAATAAAGATTTAAGAAAACAATTAACGAAGTTTAATTATCATATAGATCTTATTGTAACAAACATAATCGAACTCAAGTATATTCGTGCCTATAAATAAGTACAGCAAAATTAATAAATTTAAAAGAAAGCTATAACATTGTTTTACATGAGGATTGGTTTAGGAATCATCAGTAAATACAGTTGGTCAATGTCAAATTCCAAGGTACAATAAGTGAACTTGACGATGAATTAAATATCTTATGAAATATACTGAAATTTTTTTAGAAATAACTTGCATTTATCAAAGATATTTGATTAAATAAACAAGGTTTATCCCACAAAGAACGTTGCAGTAAACAGTTGTATTGATGTATACTACTACTAATATTATCATACTTCAATCAATACATCGAATGATAGCGATTTTAACAAAGTAACAGGAATCTTACTTCTCACCTGAGATATGCTACTCATTCCATTTTCTTCTCTACTCAAAGGTAAATCATTTATATCGACCGAAATCTGTTAAATATAGAAATAAGAAATACATGAATTCAAAATTCATCATCTATATGTCGTTTTTAAATAATATAAGCTTACAAAAGAAAAAGTAACAGGAGAATACACAGAGAAAAAAGAAACGGATGTCATTGTGATTTAAAAAAGCTTAGCTTTCATAAACACACACTAATGGTCATCTCCACCAATTAACAAAAAGCGAAAGGTGGTTACCAAGTTGGAGTGACTTTACTAAACCGAACTAAATTAATCTAGTCAACCTGTCAATCACTGAAACTAACGATATGGAGTAGACGTGTATTGGTGAACGTATCACACTCTACACTGGTGTAAGGAAGAGATATTAAAGACATGGAAACCAAAGGAGTTGGAGAGGTAATAAACAGGATACATGTTGTGTCCATTATCTGCTGGTCAAAATTATGTGACGGGCCACCAATCAGAATAGTGCTTAATTTCTATGACTTGGACAATTACACATCCTACCAGCACGATTATTCTTGACTCCTATTGGACCACTATTTGCAAGCTTCTCTCTATGCTCTACCTTTGAGTCCAAAAGTCGGCAACAAGCCTCTACTACATTACTACTTCAAATATACGTAGTTTATACACAGACATAACTGACCGCACCACATTGTAAAATGAAGAACATAATTATACAAAAGTGGCTGTGAATATGGTAGACTATGGGTAATAGACTGTCCAGAAATCAGGAATAGTAAGTCTAATGATAAGTTCATGGGTTAACCAAAAGCTTATGATAAACGTAATACATAGACATAATTTAGTTGTTTAATGGTTATACAATGTACTATGTCATTCATTAAATTGGCACTCTATTTATTTGTTCTTGTAGTGCATCTCACGAATGAAACATAAATCCACAGGCGCATACACTGTGTAAAGGCAAACGATAAAATACAATGGTCCAACTGAACAACATACATGTAGATTATCTCTAGTTCAAACTAATACATCCTAATATCCAATCCAACGCTAATCTAACTTACCCTGATAAAAAGCCTGTAGTCTGAAACGTGGCTCAAACTAACACTAATATACAACACCAAGTAATGGTCTCATATCATGAGATGATTATTCTGTAGCGTCTACTATACAACTATCCGGTATATTTAACGTATGACCTAACCATATATACAAGTTCACTAGACAAGTGGTTTCAAATGACTTATTTCTCACAATCAGAACCTCACTGATAAAGCAAATGTTGTCCCAGGAAAAATGGTAGCACACATAAACAATGCTGAAAATCCATATCAGTTAACTATATCCAGTTTCATCTAATCTTTTATTTATAGCAACCATATTTTACAAATTTCCCTACTACAGCATAGGTATTTAAGTGAATACTTAAACAATAATGGGTTATTTGGGAAAAAGGTTATTGGTGTTTTACAACTATATGGGAAAATAAATGTAGGATATACAATATCTTAAAAGATAAAATATTTTACAATTAAAACTTACTCGTATATCCTGTGTACTACAATAACGTAATGAATCCAGAGTGTCTGAAACTGAACCACATTCCTCGGTTTTAATTTCTGCATTTAAATCATCGCTATCATCATTATCATCTGAAGCATGACTATACTGAACTGATGTACCACATTTTGAACGAATTCCACTCAATAAATTTTTTTGAGCCAAAAACTGAAATTGACTACCCGCTCGCTTACGACGTGATCCATTAGAGTTTCCAACGGCAGGATTACTATTCCCGTCACTTTCTTCATCGTCCGAACAAACATTATCTTCACTTCCCGCCCTTGCCAATCTTTCGCCTGTTAATAACTTTTCAAATGCCCATCGCAAAACTCCGAATGCTAAATATTCATTGGAAGGTTCTTGAATTTCATTTTGATGATCTGATGAATCAAAATTGCCTGTAAGGTTTACTATCAAACGAGCACTAAGAATTCCTGTTTGAGAACAAGCGATGGCATCTGCTTCTGTTAACAAGTAGTGAAGTAATGTTTTTGTTAAACACATTTCTGGCGGATAAGATTTGGGACTTGTAGCAAATTCATTACTATTTTGATAGACCCCACTGAACTGAATAAAGTGACACAGAACTGTACAAGAAACAGTAGAATGTAAGACACAACATTGAAAACAAGTTATGTTAATCAAACATTCTTAAAAGGTTTACTTCAGATTCGTATGTTTCTATGATTGCAAAATTTCTGAAATCCCCATAAGTTCCTTTTGGGACAAAGTATGCACTTTGTGTTCCACATGACACACTAATGAACTCGTTTTGTAGTAGCATACAGATATATTACATACCTATCTTTCATTAAATGTGTCTACTGACTTGTCAATAGTGAGTTGACTCATTCACCAGGTACTTCGGTATGAGCCACACACTAAGTGTGAGGGCTAATGGTACTACCCAGTTTCCCAAAACAAAGTAGGTGGAGCGAAGCTCAAACCTGTAGCCTAGTGGGTGAAAGTCGAACGCCTTAACCAGTAAGCTACCGCTAAAACAGAGAGATCAATTAAGATTTCGGTCGCTTACAGAATAGTGTCCGAACTTTTCAGACATTACATAACTACGTTATGCAAGGCCCCCAAATGCCCTGGTACGGCCGAGAGTGGGGAGAGTCACCTCTCCCTCTCGAAATACTCTTATATGACCAGCGAATATATAGCCTCTGACAGGGAAGTCCTACTCACTGCATTCTCGTGGCGGGGGTGCTGTTTACAAAAGTGAGAGGACGAAAAGCGAATGTTCGGCGCTTTAACCGGGTTGGTGGACATAGAGGGTCCACCTAGGGGAGTTGGAAAACCCTGATTCCAAACCAACGGTGCACATGGGCTCCAGTATCCTGATGGAACGAATGGCGGACGAACCTGTCATTGGTCAACGGCTACCATGGGACTGCATCTCCTCACGATGCTCCACTGCCTTGTGGATTAGATTTTTAGGCCAAGGTCTCCGGGTGTGGCCCTCTAAGAAAACCACCTGCTTCAGTCTGGGCACCTGGGCAGTATCACAGCCCTCAAGCAAATCGAATGAGATTTGTGAGGCGCATATTTATCTGGTGCTTCATTGTACCAATATTTATGTGTTTAAATAAATAAATAAATAAAACGTTATGCAAGACATTATAATTGCCAATATGTTATTTCTCGGTTACAGAGATGCCTAAATACATGAGTGATACGCCTTTTGTTTAATTGCTATTCAATGCATACACAAACAGGAAACGATTACGTAAATGACTTATTCCAGGTTGCCAATAGTTGTAAAAATCTGATTTGACAATATAGTCTTTAAAACAGAGTGATTAGTGTCGAGATTATATTAGTAGCCACTACTTATGTGCCAACATTTGGAAAGCTTTCTGATGATTTACGTCAAGTCCTCAAGTAAAGACTTCTTTCTACTCTATAAAACAAGGTGAAAAAACGCTATGAGGTTGACCTAGCAGACTCCGGGTATACGTTTTTTAATAATTTTGAAGATCTGGTAGGCATATCCATGGTGATATATACCTAGATGAGTTTTGTTATAGTTAACAACAAAAGAAACAAGTAACGAAACTTTAAGTAAAGAAAACATGTGAAAAATCTACAAAGATGGCAACCTGAATACTGAGAACTAGTGCGGAATATTGTATTGATGAAGTAACATATATTGTACGGGAGTTCCAATCGTTTTGGTGCACCCGATAAACGATGAGACTCAGCAGAGTTTGAGCCTATGTTCTAATAAGTTACTAATTCATTAATATAAATAATTTTTCATCATATTTAATTAGACAACATTCTAAAACCCCACATGTGTTGGCTTTATTCGACTGCTGATACTTGGAATTGTTCTGAACCAGTTCCTCATTTAATACTGACGTTCAGCGTAATGTTTACATAGAATATCATATTATGTATGTATACGTCCCAATCAAAATCAAGAGATAAAGTCACTGGCTGTCGCTTAGAGCGGAGTTGGAAGGTTCAGAAGTTTTGAATGGAGTTCTGGCGACAATCATAACCTTTAACTGGAAATTTTAGTTAATAAGATTTAAAACTGTCACAGATGTTTCCACTTCCTTTTTCTCCCAAATCTTGATTCTTGATATCATTAAATTCTTCATTCCCCAGTTTCACTATTTACTAGAGAACAATATTCTGTATGCTTAGACATACGATACAATTTATATTAATACTATTTCGATTTGTCCACTTTTTATCTTATCAACTTTTTACTGTGTTTAGAGTATTTAAAAAGTGACGATTTATGCTAGGTCCTACGTTGTGTATATGACGACTAGAACCAACGCTATAAAAAACATCTACCAAAACAATATTAAGTTAGTATGATAAATTTGAACTGTAGATAGTAAATGGAGTGATAAATTCTCTTGAATAACCATTTTAATATTGCCTATCTACAAGAAGTCAATGATATCCAAAAGTTTAACAAATGAAACGTATCTGGAATTAAAGTAGAGCCAAGCAAGAAAATCTAACATTTTCAAATAATACTAGTTGGAAAAAACAACCTTCCAGTGATTGTTTTTTTTAAAAAATCTTACCCCCAACACTGTCGATTGATAAATTGTGAATCAAAAACTCGATGCACGTTGTCTCCAACGTTTTGATCTGTAGACATTTTGACAAAAAGTAAACGTGTGGTATTAGTTCTTCGGACACAGTAAGCCTGGTAGAAGTGGAAAAATTTTAAATTAGGAAGCTACGATGACAAAAGGAGTAGATAAATTATTGTTGACAGACTAGAAAGAACTAACTACCGCTAGTTGATACAGTTACTCCATATGAAATTAAGTACTTTATCACATGGGGATAAACCGGATCAGTGTCTGATAAACAAAAGTACAGTATATTAAAAACTAATTACTAAAAAATATGCCTTACTGAATAATAATATATAGATATAAATGATTGCCAACAGAAACCACCCTTAAATGTGAATTAACTACATTTCTAATGGCATGGGGATGAAATTGCATCAGCCTAGGTCCCATTACTGTAACGGTTCAAACAATTAAGCCTTTTTACAGCACAACAAATACATGGAAAGTATTACTATACGATGATATTTGAGACAAGGTTTAAATAATTCACTCACTATTTTGACCATAGGATTTGGTAGTACAGGAAGAAGCATGGGACTATCGATGACGGGAAAAACATACTACGAACGATGCAACCCAGAAGTCACTGATTAAATCTTTCTTGTTGCCTTTTATTTCTAAAATTGAGTACCGAAACCCACTTCACTAAAGAAAACGAAAGCTTTCTCCCTACAAATGTGTTTGATTTTATAAAGTCGGCATGTGATTCCAAATGAATATAACATAATGATGATGCCGGTCACTGCTAGATAGCATGAAAAGTGTCTTTTATGCGCAAAAGGTTTTATTTTGTACCTAATTACTAGAAGCCAGTAAACTATAGCTAACGTACCTGATCTTTTAGCACCAGATCACAAAACGTAAACTCTCCAACGACTTTTAAAATTCGGAGACCTCGACAATTAAATTGCTTCCACTAATAGACAGCGTTCATAATTTAGTGTATGTGAAAGAATGTGATTTAAATGTGCTTTCAACGTGGTATGGTCGCCAGCAGCTAGCGACACCCGGTATTCCCAGCCGGTCACCCATGCAAGTACTGACCGGGCCCAACGTTGTTTAACTGCGGTGATCGGACGGGAACCGGTGCTTTCAACGTGGTATGGTCGCCCCAAAATGCCCTGGTACGGCCGAGAGTGAGGAGAGTCACCTCCCTCTCCAAATGCTCTCACATGGCCAGCGAATATATAGCCTCTGACAGGGAAGTCCTACTCACTGCATTCTCGTGGCGGGGGTGCTGTTTACAAAAGTGAGAGGACGAAAAGCGAACGTTCGGCGCTTTAACCGGGTTGGTGGACATGGAGGGTCCACCTAGGGGAGTTGGAAAACTCTGATTCCAAACCAATGGTGTACACGGGCTCCAATATCCTGATGGAACGAATGGCGTATGAACCTATTGTTGGCTACCGGGTACCATGGGACTGCATCTCCTCACGATGCTCCACTGCCTTGTGGATCAGACATTTAGGTCAAAGGCTCCGGGTGTGGCCCCCTAATAAAACCACCTGCTTCAGTTCGGGCACCTGGGTAGTATCACAGCCCTCACACAAATCAAATAAGATTTGTGAGGCGCATATTTATCTGGTGCTTTTTGTACCAATATTTATGTTTAAATAAAATAAAATAAATGATTTAAATGTTTGTATTTTCGCCTTAACAATTCAAATACTACCACTCAGTGAAAAACTAGGTATTTTAAATTACGGAAATGTACTGCTGTGTATAACAACAGAAAATTTACATAAACCTCCCGTTGTTCATCAAATCCAACATTTGAGAAATGAAATAAACCCGAATTTCTTGACCATCTCAATGTTACATAAATGTGCTAAACCTTTCGTGGTGAAAACACTGGGTGAAATACATCCAAAATTCAGACAATTTCAAAGAATGCTTAACATATTCAGTACTTGAGTTCACGTAGTCCTCTGAAATGACGAACGTGAGAGTAGATTTGTCAAAACTACATTGCATATCAAACCTTTACATTGAATATCAATGGTGAGACAAAACCATTATTTTATGGAAACTAAAAACATGCCATAAACATCTAGCATTAATAATACTTTTATTACAACAAGTCAAGTGAAGCGATTAGCACAGATTACTAGGACGGTTACTAATAGCAAACAGCGATCAGAAAAACCTGATTCCTATAAACAGGACTTACCTTAAAGTAAGCATATAATTTAATACCGCTTCGAAAACGTCCGCAGATGCATCAATAAACACCTTGAGTGAAGACGACGACTTTGATCTTGTCACTTTCAGTATGCAACCATGTGTAGAGGTGTAGTCAACCTCTCCACCCTCTGACTGAAAGCATTTTTTCAGCTCCTCACTCAATATGGAAATTTGTTTTTGGTTTCCGTGATAAATATTCTGACCAACAACAAAAGTGACATCTGCCCTCCCAACGGTATCAGGATCACATTCAAGTACACCCGATAACTCTTTGCAGAAATAATTAAATATTTTAGCTTTGGATTTTTTAGTAGAAGCCCTTTGACAATTGATAAGTGCGCACATTTCCAAAGAACAAAATTTATGGTAATTGCGAACGTCAGTGAAAAGATCCGTTAGCAAATGGAATGAGTAATAATCTGACGTAACACAACTGCCTAACGAGACATCTTTGATGATGCTGCAGTCATAACTTACCTTTAATAATCAGGACGATAAAATGGGATTAAACTGGAAGAATATATCGATATGTTTAACAACAACATTGACAGGTAAATAAACTCTAAGCAGGCATATGACAGTATTATTTCATGCCTATGGATATGAGTGTGCACCTGTAGGTCGGATGAGTGTTACCCTATTGGTGCGTCGACAACGGAAATAAATCACCCAATGATAACCAGCAAATTTAAATTTTTGCTTCTCAATATGAAACTTCACTCATCCAATTCATCAGTTTCAGTTTCAGCTTCAGTTTGGAAAGGACAGGAGGCTTGATGGCCTGTGTTAATCTTGGCAATGATGGTCTCTCAGCTGATCCAACTTTCTTTTGAAGGAGTCGACGGATGGAGCCCCAACCACATGCTGAGGTAATGAATTCCACTCGTTGATTATTCGATGGGAAAGTCGGTAGTCAGCTGACAAGTAATTCGTTCTGGGGTTGTGAACTTTTTTAGAGTGTCCTCGTAGATGTTCTGTTTCGGAACACAAGAAAAATGAGGGCATATCAGGTGCAAATTTGTCATTAAGCAATTTGAAAACTGTAATCAAGTCGCCTCTGATTCTTCCATATGACAGCGGGAATAGGTTTAGCTTGGTCAGTCTAGTACCATACGGGAGCTTCGCTATTCCAGGAATCAGCCTAGTTGCTGTTCTCTGAACTTTGACCAAGAGTTCACTGACTTTTTTAGGCAGGGGCTAGCTACTTGTATGCAGTACTCAAGTTTAGTGCGTACGAACACTGTATACAAAGTCAGAAACGTTTTAGCTTCAAGATGCCTAAAAGCCCTGCGTATGGACCATAAAGTCCTAAAACCTTTGGCGGCTATTGCATGGCAGCATGCAGTAGTCCTTAAGTCTTGACTAACGATGACGCCTAAGTAATTGTGCGCCTGGACAATAGGTAACTCACTGTTATTCATCGTGTATGTATCTGTACCCTGGTGGCCAGTATGCATCACAATACACTTGGAAGTGTTTGTCGGCAATTGCCAGGTTTGGGACCATTCAGATAATCTCTCCAGGTCATTTTGGAGTTATAAGTTATCGTCCTTGCTTTGTATCGCTCTCCATATCTTGACATCATCAGCATAGAGTAAGACCGATGGCGATAGTAGATGAGGGAGTTCATTTACGTACAGGAGGAATAACACTGGCCCCGAAACTGTACCCTGGGGGACTCCACTTAGCACAGTTTCCCAGCTAGACAACTTGAAGTTTACCCTTACTCTTTGTTGATGCCCAACTAGGAAGTCTTTTATCCACATCAATAGATTGTCTCCAATCCCGACATATCTTAACTAATATAACAGCCGGTTATGCGGAACTTTGTCGAAGGCTTTGCTGAAATCGATGTAAGCTACGTCTATAGGTAACTTTTCGTCCTTAAGATCGCATCAGCTTTCACGAGCGACTTATAAGTTTGTGAGACAAAAGTAACCTGTTCTGAAACCATGCTGTTTATCGGAGAGGATCCGGTTTTCATCGAAATACTTTAACAGCTCCTTCCGAATAATCTTTTCTAAGATTTTAACAACCACACCAGTGGATTTACCTATGTCAAGCTTAACTAGCAGACCAAGGACATCGAGTTCTTTAATGGTCACGCTGTCCAGTGCTTGTGTGGGGGGATTTTCATGGACTGGTGAGAAAGGGTGTTTCTATGGTGTATACATTGCTAAAGAATTTAGAGAATACTTGAGCTTTGACAAAATCGTCCTCCACTAGTGATGAGGCAGTACTGTCTCCCCATAGTGAAGGAACATTTCTTCTTTTCGTCCTTTGGTTTATATACAAATACAAGCGTTTAGGGCATTCTATGGATTCCCCAACGATTTTCTCTGCGTACAGCTTTCTGGCCTTACGGAGTGTTGAGGCACAGGTATTTCGAGCCTTTTGATACTGAGATTTTGCCTCATCAGTCCCCAGTAACCTAAATCTATCCCACATTTTCCTTCTTTTACAGAGAAGGATGCGAACCTCCCTACTGAACCACGGTGGGGAGTTTCTCGGTCCCTTAGGTGTAGTCCAAGGGATGTGGGGGCGGTAACTTTTAAGTATACATTTCGGAATACGTCCTAAGCCGTTTCGATTGATGGCTCTGGGTCTATTTTCCAATCTACTGATGATGCTGATTTCATGATGTCTGGTATGATTGCTTTCCAGACGTTAGGTCTGGATTGAGCTGAGGCGTGCTCGTGGTCGACAGTTATATGGAAGTCAAAGGTTACAACTGCATGATCACATTTGCCTAAGGGTGGCATGTAATTCAGGTTTGCAACGTCATACTCATAACGAGTCAATATAAGATCTAGTAGGGATGATGCAGAACCCGGGTTTTACCTAGTTGCTTCCTTCACGTGTTGCACTAGGGCACATGTGATTACCGCATCAAACAGTTCCTGTTCGAAGGAATTTGCTGACGATTCAGTCCGCAGGTTTCCCCAGTCCACCATGGCTGCATTAAAGTCCCCTAGGATTAGACATCGATCACTTCGTGACAAAGTGTTGAGACTGCTTAGCAGAACCTCGTTTACCTAACAGCTTGGACTGCGATAGATCAAACTAAGCAGCAACTCTTGTCCTCTGCATTTCAGGCGGCAGAAAACTAATTCATACGTCCCACTCTCATGGGATACACTGTCGATAATGGTGAATGGAATAGCATTCCTAATGAATAGAGCTACTCCCTCTCATTTACGCGTTTGTATTCCATCGGCCCTTACTAATGTAAAACCCTCGAAATCAAGTTCCCTACTATCTATAAACGGCGTAAGCCATGTTTCTTTGACTGCGATTATGTCTGGCCTAGTTGAGTCAATCTGTACACCTAGTTCCGGTAGCTTATTGAGTAAGCTCCGGGCATTGGTATAACAGATGCGAAGCCTTTTTAAGCGACTTCGTGCTTCACCCACAGTGGCTTCGGCATCATCCTCTGTCGAAGCCTCACAACCCGAAAATTTACAATTTTCAGGTCTTTTTCGCCAGCGTCTAATCTGAGCTGTAGTTATTTTTCGGCTTACCGTCTCTTTACACAGTTTGCCAACGGTAAGTCATTACGGAGAAAAACTCCTGAACCCTTTAGTTTGTGTCCATTTTCTAAGATTAAGTAGCGTTCGTTTGGGGATTTGAAAACGACTTTGAGCAGTCTAGTTTGATTACGCTTCAGATGCGCTAGGTTTCCTAGTCTATACACCTTTAGCAAGGAGACTCCGGAGATGTTTTGGGGCATAACTTGGTTGAGTAGTTGTTTTATCAACACAATGTCATGTTCAAAACGAGCTTTCGGTTCTAAGCTGTCAATCTCCTTGACTCTATGGAAAATGACTGATCTGTCGCTGTGATCAGACTTCGGCTTTTCGACCCTTTTGTTGGGGTAGGATTCCCTTTTACGTCATTTTGTCGTTTTTTCCTTACGACCCGTACCCAATCGTCGACGTTCTTAGGAGAAGTAACACAGTCACGTCAGGCGTACTGTGGGATTCCGAAAGGTTCAGGACGACTTAGGAGGTTGGGTCATCTTTCGCGCTGGAAACCGATCGAGCCTTGCCATTTTGGGTTAAACACCACACTTAAACAACACACTTTTCTTGAATTTATACTTGCTTATCATTCACTGTTGTATTTTTCTTTCAACGCGCTCACTATGAAATTTAGAAATACTGTCATTTTGACCACCGAAATATCAAACTCGAGTACCTGTAAATAATTCCCCAAAATCAATAGCTCTCTAAGTGTTCGACATTGGATGCTGACCACATTCTTTTAAGTGGACTTGTCTAACCTAATGCGTTCGGTCATGCATCCGCACCAGATCACGTTACGACCCAGTGTGGGAAATAGCTCCTACGTTCACTAGCCACATTAGAGCAAACGCTTCTCGATATATTGATAACGCATCAAATATATCTTTCCAATCTCTTCGCATCTGATTTCTGATTTTGACCGATTGGGGAACGATTCGAATATAGAAGGTGTTATTGGTTAATATCTGTAAAACTACAATACCGGTCGTATCTTCACTGGTACTCAGGTAGCCCGATAATATCAGTGATTGATTGTTACTAGGTATGGAGTCTTATTAGGCGAAATGTTTGTAGACTTAGCAAAATAATACCGGAACGTAGCTAAGCCATCTATCAAGCGTAATCCACAGTTTCCCTAGTTAACTGGTCGCTGGGCGTTGAATTGTTGAAATGTGGTAGTAACGGTAATTGATGGTCTGTTGCGCGCTTATGGTGTTCACTTGTGTTTATTCGTTCTACCTGCCTTAGATTGGGCTATTCGAGGGATTCTTAGTGAACAAGTCAATTCGAATATTCCTAATCATAATTATGACCCTGCGATAGTGTCATTGATAGTGTCAATATTGAGGATCACTGGACAAAGACTGCCCATAAGAGGATGTTGTGAATTGCTTACAAGAGATGATAATTCTTTACACAAACCTTGTGAATTTTTAGTTAGTGAAACAGGACTGTGCGATATTCAAATGTATTTGAATTTCAGTATGAATTAGTAACCCCACCAATAACGCACTTTAATCAAGAAGTAATAAACGAGCACGAACAAACGTACTGTATTTGGAATTCAAAATCAAAACAGCCATCAATACAAGGGAATCATTGATTTATTCAAACACTACATCCTCCAAATCTCAAATTGAAGTGTAACGATCCGTAGTATAATTCTTTATACATACCTTGTGAATTTTTAGTCAGTGAAACAAAACTATCAATACTGGGTTTGGAAAAATTGAAAAGGCTTAAAGTGGAGTTTTCTCTACTAGTTCACAAAGAAAATTCTGATGCTTTACTTAAACATTTGATAGCTGCATGTGCTGAGTGCAGTTGAAGTATGAAAACTCAGTTCATAAAACTTCAGGTACAGGGTGATCCAGTCTTTCCTATCAAATGAATAAGTCCTCATAATCTTCAAGAAACAGTACGTAGGACATTGAACGATTTGTGTGCAAAAGGTATAATTGAATCGACTGAGTTTTCAGTATAGAATACACTTATTGCTACTCTATTGAAGTCGAACGACAAGACCCCTAGATTATGTGGTGACGATAGATTAACACTGAACTCCCTTTTGTTGAGTCAAACGTGCACGACGATAGAGACTGCAGATATTCTAAATCAACTTCATGATTCTAAAGTGTTTTTGAAAGTTTACTTAAAAGATCCTTATCTTCAAATCCCTTAACACCAATCTTCATCTATTTTGACACCAATTAACACTCAATATGATCCGTTCAAATACATTCTCCTTCCATTTTGTCTAAGTTGTGCTCCAGCCATATTTCAGGAAGTGATGGATAAGGTAGTCAGTGATCTTGAAGGTGTTTAAGTTCATCAAGATGATCGCATCGTTCATGGTACTCATAAAATAGTTCATAACCAGAGACATATTGCTTTATTGCGCCGTTTAATTGAAAAGAATATTACAGTAAATCAAA